CATTTGAACGTTCCCGAAGAAGCAGAAGCTCATCCAGAGCTCTATCACATGTGCCGACCTGCAAGTGACAGCCAATTCCTACTAACCACGGCCCCCATTTCATTTGTTGCTGCTGTGGACGGCTATAGTTTTTATCTATCAAGAGTTACATGAATACCTTGTACTTCAAGTGATCATTTGCGAGTCGTGGAACAAAACCAAACGCTTTTAAGCTTCTTTTTTCTTCCCTCACTTTTTTCTCTCTCCCTCTATCATTTATTTTGCCGCGTAGTACATTCGGAAACAAAAGCAGTTTTCCTGGACAATAGGAGCTGCCAGCCATAGAAAGAGTACTTTACTGGAGAAATCTTCTAAGCACTCCATAGAACATGCTCATGCCCTTTTCAAAATTCCTTCGCACAAGCTTATCAAACTTTTGTGGTTTTTCAACAAGCTGGGCATATTCCAGTGCGCAAGAAGAGCGCGATCAGGGAAGGTAGATTCATTTTCTTGACGTAGCTAGCTTGCTAACGGCTACGCCAACTCCAAGCTCTTCTCATGATCCTGAAACCTCAACACGTTCACTTTCGCTATGTACTACTATCCCCCAATGATTAGAATTGCCATTCACCAAACATTTACTATAGTTTGGTGCATGTCACACCTGTCATACCCTCTATTTCGGGGAACGAGAAGAGCGTCGAGTGCAGACCACACACCACAAGTGACGACGGCCAAAAAATGGCCTTTTTTTTTTTCTTGGCCGTCGTCACTTGTGGTGTGTGGTCTGCACTCGACGCTCTTCTCGTTTTCAGAAGTACAGGGTATGTGCTTTGTTTACCGCGGTCAACATGTCCTAATTGCAGTGTTAATTTCACATCTGGCAACGACCTGAAAAAGAAAGATATTATGAGATATTTTGATTGCTTTTGTTATGTTAACTGCCGTTTTAACGCCACAACTTCACGAAAGGTTCACAAAAATGTCTGGTAGGGGGCGAAGCAAGTGACCATACTCATACTAGATATACTTGATACTTGTGAT